GACGACATCGAAATACAACTTCGCAAGTTTCTTCTAGCTAAAGACACCGAGCATGAAGAAGACGCTTCCCAGGAACTCCGTCAAACCTTGCGAAAAGCAGCCGAAATTGCAGCAGAGTTGTTCCAGATTATCAACAAAGAAATAGGGTATGAGAGAGAAAGGGAGATGACTTTTAATGCTTTAAGTTCTCTCATTAAAACCATTGACCTTCAGTTTCTGCAATCAAGGGTGAAGCTCTCTCTCTCTGATCGATCACCAATCATATCTCTCCTTGCAAACCTTTCTTGTTTGCAAGCCTTTCTGCAGAGCAAATCCAGTGGTGATGGTGGTCCTCTAAGTGATTTGGAAATCCAAATCAGAGACTTTACACTCAATGCTGAAGATGACTTCGAAATACAACTTAGCAACTTCCTTCTCTATGAAGACAGAGTGTTGTATTCTCTCAATCGAACTTCGCAAAAAGCTGCAGAAAATGCATTAAAGCTGTTGAAGATTCTAACTGGGGAAAAAAAGTCTTATGCAAGTGAGAGAGAGATGGCTAGTGCTGCTTTAACTATTCTGATTGCAAAATTTAAGTATTACTTTTTGCAAACCTTTCCAACAGTGTATGCTCGTGATAAAGCAACAATGATACATTTCTCAGCAAAGCTTTATTCTCTGCAAGTCTGCTTATTGCAGATGAAATCCAATGGTGGTGCTGCTGCAATCAAAATCAGAAAGTTCGCACTCAAAGCTGTAAATGACATCGAAATACAGCTACCCAACTTTCTTCTAGCCAAAGACACTGAGCATGAAGGAGAAGTTTCCCTGAGACTCCGTCAAACCTTGCAAGAAGCAGCTGAAATTGCAGCAGAGTTATTGAAGATTATCCACAAAAAAGAAACGCATAAGAGAGAGAGGGAGATGACATGTGGGATCAAATCCACTTTATTGGAAAAGCTTTCTTCTCTGCAAGTCTTTATGCAGGAGGAATCGAGTGGTAGTAGTGCTACAACCAAGGATTTGAAAACCAAGATCAGAATCTTCACACTCAAAGCTTCCCGGGGACTATATCAAGTCTTGCAAGAAGCAACAGCAAGCACAACAGAGTTGTTGAAGATTATAACCAAAGTAAAAAGAGAGATGGCTTTTGATGCTTTAAATACTTTCATGACAAAAATTTATTTGGACTTTTTGCATTCCACCCCTGTAGTGCCTCTTGACGATAAAGCAGCAATGATATCTTTCTTCGAAAAGCTCTCTTCTTTGCAAGACTACTTACTACAGAAGGAGTCTAGTCGTGGTGCTGGTGGTACAGGCAATGATTTGGAAACCGAAATCATAGACTTTGTACTCGTGGCTGGAGATGACGTTGAAACACAAGTAAAAAAATTAGTTCAGGCCAAAGGCAACACAGAATATCAAGGAAAAGCTTCCCAACTCAATCAAACCTTACGAGAAGCAGCCGAAATTGCAGCAGAGTTGTTAATACGTATCAACAGTGAAAAAGAGTGTAAAAATGAGATAGAGATAGCTTGTCTTGCTTTAAGTAGTCTCATGGCAGCAATTGAAGAGTTTCTATATGCTGAAGTTGCAACAAAATCTTTTTTGGAGTCTGTTCATTATAAAGCGGGAATCAAATCTAATCTATTGGAAAAGCTCTTTTCTTTGCAAGTCTTTCTGCAGAAGGAATCAAATGGTGGAGGTGGAGGTGCTGCAATGAAAGATTTGGAAACTAAAATCAAAGACTTTACACTCAAAGCTAAAGATGACATCAAAATACAACTAAACAATTTTCTTCAGGCCAAAGAAACAGAGTATGAAGAAAAAGTTTCTCAGGAACTCTATCAGACCATGAAAGAAGCAGCAGAAAGTGCAGCAGAGTTGTTGAAGATAATCAACAGTAGAAGCAATGAAGTTGATGAGGCAAATGAAACTCAACCATCAAATACTTGGTTAAAACATGCTGCTTCCAAGTCTACTGTTGAGTCTGATGGATCATCGCTTGGCTTTCTAAAGCCTGCGGGCAGAATGGTTAGTCGTCACCATGATTGTACAGTCATAAAGCACGAACTCCTCTTTTCTCCCCCTGATAATGTACCATATATAGTCTCAATTGTTGGAATGGTGGGTATTGGAAAGACTACTCTAGCAAGAAAGTTGTATGAAGATCCATCAGTTGCATCGCATTTCGATGTAAGATGTTGGGTTACTATACCTCAACACTACAATAAGAGGCTAATGCTAAGCGAACTACTTCAGTCAATTATGTCAGAGGAGCCAGATGTAATTAAAAGAGAAAGAACTTCAGATGAACTAGAAATTACGTTACGCATTTGCTTAATGGGTAGGGACTATTCAATTGGTAGGAAGTATTTAATTGTTTTGGACAACATTATGAGCGATCAACCTTTGAATGATATCAGACGGTGTCTTCCTGATGGCAAAGCTCAAATTTGCATATTAGTAACCACTAGACACTTCTACCAATATACCTTCTGGAACAAGTATGTCCATCACATGACTTTGCTAGATCCAAAAGAAAGCTGGGAACTATTTTGTAATATCCTTTCTATTGATGAAGAGCACTTGGCCCCTAAATTTGAAAAAATTAGGAACCGTGTTGTGGAGAAATGTGATGGATTACCACAGTTAATTGTTGAAGTTGCGAAACGTTTATCTAAATGCAACAACATACAAGAAGGGTGGAAAAAAATTGAAAAGGAATTGGAGTCATTGGGAATTTTAGATCGCAATGCAATCTTTATTGGTTACGATATATTGCCACATCATTTGAAAGTTTGCTTTCTCTACTTTGGAGTCTTCCCAAAACGTAAAAAGATTCGGGTTAAGATGCTTATAAGGTTGTGGATCGCTGAGGGATTTGTAAAGCCATTGAAACATAAGCAGTCGGAAGATCAAGCTTATGAGTATTTACTAAAGCTTATTGATAGAAGCCTTCTCTTAATTGAAGTTCGAAGTTGTAATGGAAATCAAGACTTGTAGAATGCATAGTGCTTTGCATAGCTTCTGTGTAGTAGAAGCTCAGAAAGAAGGTATTTTATGTGCAGTAAATACTCAGCAACATTCAGGATTGTCATTAAAAGTATTTGCAAATTCCTGTCGTTGGCTAAGTTTGTACTCGCACAGGTTTGACTATTATGTACTCTTTGGTACAAACATCCCTCGCTCCATTTTCTTCTTTCATGATAATCCTGAAATGTTTGTTCCTCCCAAGCCGTTAAGAGTTTTGGCTTTTGATATTTCTATATCACTTCAAAGAGTGCGAGTGCAATTAGGGGGTTTAATTTTTCTGAGATACCTATCCATAACACAATGGTTCGTGGATCTGAATGATGTAGTGTCAAATAATCCAAATTTACAGACACTTGTTGTTTCTGGTAATGGAGCACCAACTGTCCATTTGCCATCTAGTATTTGGAAGCCACCACACTTAAGGCATCTCCAACTTGGCAATTCATATATGGTTGATCCTCCAAGTGCAGATAAAAAGAATTTACAAACATTATCTTGGGTGGTAAGACCAGTTCATTGCAGAAAGGAGGTGTATAACAAGTTCCCTAAGATAAACAATCTGAAAATTTTGCTGAAGGATGGCATAGAGCCCGATCACATTGGAGTATCTTCCAGCAATCCTATTATTTTGGATCATTTTAACTATTTGGAAGGGCTTGAGAAGCTTAGCATTTCGGTTTCTATTGGTTGCAATGCAGCCCTTCCAGAACAATGTATGTATCCTTCAGGTCTAGTGAAGTTGAAGTTGAGTGGGACTAATATTTCTGAGAGGGATTTAAATGTAATTGCCATGTTACCGGAGCTTATGGTGCTCAAGTTGGAAAAATTCCTTCCGTGGAACAGTATGGGAAGTAGCTGAAGGAGGATTTCCTAAATTAATATTCTTGCTCCTTGAAGCTAAAGAACTCAAGAAGTGGGTAGTTAGCAATTGGGATGACTCTTTGAAGCTCAATCACTTAGTCTTAAGATCCTGTAATTGTTTGGAACAGATGCCAACGGATTTTATAAGTTTCATGTTGAAGTCAATTGAGTTGGAGGGGTGTCACTCTTCCCTTGTCGCTTCTGCCAAGCAGTTTCAACAGAAGAGAGGATTACCAAATCTTTTGGTTAGAAGCTAAAGTGTGTTTCATTCTTAATTTTTATTTCTTTTCTATTCAATGTTGTTTTCTTTTTTTTTTTTTTTCCTATTTTATTTTTCTGATCTCATTTTGATTTCTGCATTACTTTTCACAGATCAAAATCTTGGACCCCGGCCAAATATGATGAATCACAGAATACACGTACAAAAGTGTCCATGTAAGACGACTCGGCAGCCTCATAGTCTACAACTGTTAGAAAATGGTATGTGATACATTGCAAGTGCTGATTTTTCAATTCTGTAATTTTTGCATTTTCTAGAGTCACATCCCACTTTATTTTATTTTATCAAAGTAATTATACAATCCTGGCTTGGGCTTACACTAGCTAGAGTCAGGCTTTTACAGATATATTGAAGGTTTAGAACAATATCACTCTTTGACCAAGTTATCACCTGAAAGAAGATCGGGGGTGGGAATGGTATTGTTTACTTGTACAGATATATTGGTTGTTTCCTTGGACCTTAGCTGTGAAAATGTGCAGTCCAGATGAAACTATGATCTAATAATTCAATAACATATATAACTGAAAGATGCAATATTGCTTAACCTGGTTTTCTCACTGTAGTATTGTCAAGACAGTAAATAGATCATGTAGTTACTTTTTTGGTTAAAAGTTGATGATTCCTTATGAATGTAATAAAGTAAATAAAGTTACTACAACTTCATTAAGATTACTACTGCAGAGTATATGGAAGTTGATAATAGATGGTACTGAAACATGGCTCAAGAGCTATCTGTCAAAAAAGATTGGTTTGACTTTTTATCACCAAACATTGTGAAAGAGATCTAATGTTGAATGCTCTAGTCTAGAGCATTCAGCAGTTAGTCTTATTTTTTTTTTTTTTTCCATTTTCTTTTAAGCTACTGAATGCTCTAGACTAGAGATGCATCATGTTCTTGAAATGGCTTGCAGAACCTGCAAAAATCGTATTCTTCAAAGAGGTTGCAGAATAAGCATGAAATTAGTTGAAGCAAAATTGAAAAGGATAAATGAATGAATCATTCAATTTGCCAACAACTAACAGAATGAAATTTTTTTTAAAAAAATAGAGAAGCTGTATGTATTTCTCTAGAATCACAATATGAAATTATCTCGCAAAACTTGCACCTCTACAGTTGCTAACAACTCTGCAATTTATTTTTGTGATGATGATGTGTTTGTTGCATTCTTTTTGGTGTAAACAGGGTAGTGAGGAGATTTTGAAAAGGTTTACCATTAACTTGGAGCATCTTGGTGTAAACAGGGTAGTGAAGAGAATCTTGCCTCTTAAAGCTAATAAACTCGAGCATTGCACAGGCGACGGTGATTTCCCATGTCTCGAGTGGTTAGTCTTGAGATGTTATATATTGCTTGGAAAAGTTCCGTTGGCGTTCAACAGAAAATTTGAACCTATGGTCAATTAAGTTGGATCATTGTGGCCCTTCTGTTGTTGCTTTTGCTAAGCATATTTGAGACTGGCAAGTTGAAATGGGAAACGGCATTTTTTGAGGTTAGAAGCTACAACATATGATCCATTCTCAATTATTTCTTTTCTATTCCATATGGATGCTAACTTTCTTTACAAACTTGTTACTATTTCCTTTTTTTGATCTGATCTCATTTTGCTTTTTCCATTTTTCACAATTTTTTCCATAGATCAAAATCCAGGAGCTTGAATATGATGAATCAAATATAGAAGAGTGTATAGACAACGACTTGGATGGTATGTGTGAGGCTACAGCATGTGTCTTTGTATCTGCATGCCAAATGAAATGGTGTTGCAATCTTAGCTTGTACAGAAATTTGAAGGTTACAAATGAATTGACTTCATCAACTGTACTGATCATCAATTCAAACCTTAGGTTAGTAAATTGAGTTGCACAACACACCTTATAAAAAAATGATGTTCAATAAAACCAAACATCCGACTTTTTGGTAGAACAAAATTAAGAAGTAAAACAAATGAATATAGTATTTGATCTGTTATAAAACATGACTAGTTTTCGGGTTTCTTTTTCAGAAAATGCATTTGATATTCTTTGACAGACAAATGCTTCTCGATCATTTGCAGGGCATGAATGGTAAACTTCCTCAATCTCACATAATTGAAAGTTGTGGGGGTTCCTTGAAATAGTAAGATGCTATTGCAGAGTATCCAAAATATGCTAATAGATGGTATTGAAACATGGGCTCAAGAGCTCTGCCAAACGGACAATATAATGGTCAGTTTATCCTCATCGAACATTGAAAAGGGGATCGATAGATGCGCGTTAGTCATTTGTACGTGATGTACTGTCATTGGTGAAACCCTTGCCAGTATGCTCAAGATAAATAATGATGTTTTTCAAAGAAATCATGTTGGTGGTTGTGGCATGCATGCAGGTTGAGTCATCTGGTGCCTATATGATCAACCGAAATGTTGAAATGACTTTACATGTCTGTTTTTGCTGTGATTATATTCATTCTTTGTTTTGATATGCTTTTGCAGATTGGTGTGCTAATTGAATGCCTTGCTGGAAAGTTTCTTAACTGGGAAGCTGCTAGTTCTCGCAAGTTATTGGAGATGTAGAGGCCGGTAAGAAGAATTGCTTGGTTATTTTGTTCTGTCTGTGCCAGGTTGTTATTGATTTGCAAGGCTAATCAAGTATAATTTTGAAAACTTGTCTTATTAGAGTTGAGTCAGTACTATAAATAAATCTTATGCATCCTGCATGGCTCCAAATTAAAGCAAAGATTTTACAGTTATCTTGGTTTTAAAGAAAGGGTTCAAAATCTTGAAGTTAGTCTTTAGGTAGGTGATATGTAGCCATTTTACTTTAACTGAACACTCCTTTTACAATTACAATATGAAATAATCTCCCTAAACTCCCACCTCTTTCATTGCTAACAACTCTACTTGTATGGAGTAAAATCTGAGGGAATTAACCAGGCCACTTAAATGGTATGTAGCAGTAAATGGTTTACTGCAATGCAGTTAGAGTGGTGCAGAGTACAGGAAAAAAACTGGCACAATTCTATGAAATTAGTTGAAGCAAAATTGAAAATGATTAATATTTCTGTTAGGAAAAAATCACATAGAATAAATGAATGAATGAATCATTCAATTTGTGAGCAACTGACAGTATGAAATAAGAAATGGAGAAGCTGCATGTATTTCTTTAGAACCACAGTATGAAATTATCTCGCAAAACTTACACCTCTATAGTTGCTAAAAACTCTGCAATTTGATTTGTTTGCTGCATTCTTTTCAGTGTAAACAGGGTAAGTATTGAGGAGAATTTGAAAAGGTTTGCCAGCAAATTGGTGAGTACTTTCCATGGACAAAGTGTGGGAAGTAGCTAAAGGAGAATTATGTAGAATAAGATTCTTGTTTATTAAAGCTAATAAACTCAAGCATTCCACAGATGATGATGATTTCTCATGTCTCCCTCCAGTGGTTAGTTTGGAAAAGTTTCCTTGGTGTTTAAAAGAAAATTTGAGCCTGCGGTCAATTAAGTTGGATCAGTGTAGCACTTTCGTAGTTGCTTTTGCTAAAGCTATTCGACTGGCAAGTTGAAATGGAAAACGGCATTTTTGAGGTTAGAAGCTACAGCATATGATCCATTCTCAATTATTACTATTCCTAGTTCTTTTTCTGATCTGATCTCATTTTGCTTTCTCCATTTTGTACTCTTTTTTTTCCATGGATCAAAATCAAGCAGCCTGAATATGATGAATCACATATAGAAGAGTGTATAGACGACGACTTGGATGGTATACGCGTATGAGGCTGCATGTATCTTTGTATCTGCATTTACATCTGCATCCCAAATGAAATAAAATGAAATGTTGTTGCTACCTTGTACAGATAATAATGAATTGGTTCATCATGACCTCATCAATGAAATAAAATGAAATGTGGTACTTAAAAGTAAGTTCTTGCACACTTATTAAACCAATCTTTTGGACTATCATTAGTGCTCTTGTTTCAGGCCAGTGTTAGTCGTCTAGACTGAGCCACTGCAAATGCCAATTTCTTGAGGAGAAAGTAATAAGCATCATATGAAATTAAACACCCTCGCCATTTTGCTTGAGTTTTCTTATGTTGATGCTGGATGAAATTAAACACCTTGTCCATACCTATATTCTGAGTTTTAATATGCTTTTGTAGATTGTTGGCACATATGCTAATTATGTATATGCAGAATATTTATACATGTACGTATTATATGGAACACATACAATATGCATGTATTTTTATACTATTCAACCTTCTAATTATGTATCATGCCTTGAACTTTTGTTTGTGATTATGAATTTCTGGTATATACAAACTAGCAATATATGTCACAAATTACCTAACAAGATGACTACATAAAACATGGCAATATTGTTTTCAATATATTCTGTCACCAAAAGCAATCATATGTCATATGATGGATTATCGCACAGATAACTTGAACAAAATGCACCACAATCTAGAAAATATAAGTTCACTAACTTTCTAGCATGTGGTAAAGAAAATATGTCACACAACAAACATAAATCAATTAAGTTATAAGTGCAACTAGAAGCTTGAAAGTCTATAAATTAAACTTATTTTGTTGGTTGACTTTTCAGTGTGTGTATAGGAGGGTTAGATGGTTTGTTCATCCTTCAATTTCTTCCTTCTTTAATTCAAGTCAAATAGTGATGTGAAGAATTATTGATCCAAACACTCTGCCAAACTCATATTTTAATGTTATTATTAATGTCAACGGAAGAGAATATTGTTTGTGTTTTAGCCTTTAAGGTAGAGTTATAAAGACATCTATATTATCAAATTGATATGTTGAATAATTTTGCTAATTTATATACTTTCTCTAGAAATCTATATTATCAAATTGATATGTTGAATAATTTTGCTAATTTATATACTTTCTCTAGAAACATTAATATGTTAAGAATCACTTTAAATTTCGCTCTAGTAATAATGTGAGGGTTCGATACTGAGAATCTGGGAGTTTGGGAAGATCTTGACCTATTAGAGGAGATGTGCAAAGTGTACGGGTGGGAACCAGGGGACTGACAGGGTGACTTATGATTTACCTCCTTCAACAGCTCTTGGGTAGAGGCTTTGGAGCTTAGCATTAACTCGGCGTAAGGTGGAATACCTAATCTTGTATGGAAAAAAAAATGCTAAGAAGACAAATGTTCAAATTGAGCTATATATATTAATTAAAGAATACGTGATTAATTTAAATACAATCAATAAATTGAGATAGTTTTACTATAAAAATTTAAGATGCAAAGGACCTACTGCTATCTCTGAAATGATATTTACTTCTTCTTCTTTTTTGGAGGAATGATATTTACATTTATACATACATAAATTATTCACTATTAAATCAATATAATAAGTTTCTAGAAGACCATTTATCATTGTAGTAGAATCCTTGTTAAGAATTTTATTTCCTTCTAGAATTCCTTCAACAAATTAAAACACTTACTCCATTTCTTGTACCTTGACTTTATCTTCCTTTTATATAGGAAATAAGAGAAGAATCCCCAGCTAATGAGAGTGGTGTACACCTTTAGATAATAACTAACAGTTTTACTTGTCACTCAAAAAAAAAAAAAAAAAAAAAAAAAAAAACCGATATTCATCTCTTAAAAAAAGAAAAAAAAAGAAAAAAAAGAAAGGAAAAAAGACTACATATTTCAATAAGTTTTACTTCATTTTTAATCTCATTGAATAAATTACAATCGATTTAAAAGTTAATAAAATAGAAGAAAAGGGTGAAGTCAACCTCCTAACACTAATATCAACCAATCACATCATAGAGTATTATAAATTAAGTAAAATTTGTAAGCACTCATAGTATAAATTCATCTTAAATAATGCATGTGAATGTCAGCCGATTCCTTCCGATTCCATGCACTCGTTGGCAGTGAAGCTATTTTTATTAATTACTTCATTTTTCATCTAGAATCATGACTTAGAATATCTTTAATAGTCATTTTAAGGATTTTTTGTGCGCTTCGTGAAAAAAAAAAAAAAAAAAAACTAATGGCGTGTTGCAGGCGCGTGTAGTTGGGATATGAATATCAATTTTAACCAGATTGATTAACGTGACTGGCCGTGTACTCATATCCCTCAAAAGAGGTAGGAGTTCAAACTTTCTCTCATATAAAAAAAAAAAACTAATTTGGCGAACCCTTTGTCCCTTAAAGGTGCCTCCTACAGTTAGAGCCTGCTCAGGACACCTCATAGTCTAACCAAAAATATCATTTTTTAAAAATCTTTTTGTTTGCATGTTTCCATTTTTAATTTCTTTCTTTACCCCTTTTTATCGGCAAATTATTGTGTGGATCATGGTCCACATAGTGTTGTGTGGACCATAATAAAAAGTACATTTTTAATATACTAAATGTATATTCTTCATGTACTGAATATACATTATACAAACTAATGTACTTTCAGTACTCAAATAATGTACATTCTCTAAACACAATGTACATTATTTTACAATATACAAAATATGGTCCACACAGCTTGTATGGACCATGGTCCATACAATAATGATTGCCGTTTATCACCCTTCTCTCTCCTTGTTAACAAAAAAACTTGCCCATTTTGCAAATTGTTGGCTAGCTCTTACAGCAACCCATTAGAGGTTTTTGCTTAATTTTTGAAGAAGAAAAAATCAAGTTATAGTTTTTACACTAATGGGAAAGATGATTTTTAGATGGATATTATTATTGCAAATGAGGGGTTTTAGTGGGGCTAGGTGGAAAGAGAAAAGGAGAAAAAGAAACCCAGGTCTGCACGTGTGGCGCGAACATCCCCATTTTTCTTACTTTCGAGCCTAGTTACTATCTTTCAAACAAGGGTAAAGATAAGGGTAAAAGATGAAGCTAAGACAGATCAATATCATATATAAAAATTTTCAAGGGAGTGCTACCACCACAATTACTCATCCTCAAGTAGTTGCACAGGCTAAACATCAAACGACTAACTAGAGTCATAAGCTCTACAAACATCGAAAAAGGGGATTTAGGAATCCCAGTGTCTACGTACCAACAAAATGTGGATAGTCTAAGGATACATCAAAACAATAACATAAGAGTTAAACAAAAGGGATATATTAAGTCTACATCCGAGGTGGTCTAACTAGAGCTACACTATTCATCCTTGATACCGTGCGCTCTCAACAGACATTAGAACAACCTGAAAAGGGTTATAAGGAAAACATAGAAAATAACCCTGTAACATAAAGTATAGATATAGATTTTGAAAAATGATTTGACAGTTACACATATACCACATAAGATCATAAGAGGTACAACGATCAAGCAATGGAATATAAGTATGGGTAGCTCACAAAAGAAGTGTACATATACATCCAATTCATACTCATGCTTGCAACATACTAAGAGTACTGACAATACAACACATATGCTTAAATACCCATGATCAATAATTATGAACTAGAATGACTCACAATAAGTATCATGAGAGAAGAGATGGGAGTAATGTAAATCAATGCTTTCATGCTAAGTAGTTTGAATGTAATAAAACAGTCACAATGCTTTTCTTGTAAACAAAAGGATAGTATGTATATGCAATCTGAACACTTGGTTTCTCAAACATAAGTAAATGTCAATATAGTATAGATACTCTCACTCTCAAAATATAGCAATATAGCTTTAGTACGGGAGGACCACAATCAATCTCATCACATCACGTGTTTCTCAACCATTCACAACTTTTTCATCATATCAATCTGTGGGAAGGTAGGAACTTCACGATTCGTGAACGGACCTATCCGGTCGGCAAATATGGGTCGGCCTAATTACCGTCTCGCCCACAATTTCATATCTCTTTTGAAATCAGGTATTATATCATACTTTTAGTGTGCACACCCCCTACTGGAATTCCAAGCCCAGTATCCAACCTAGCAGCCCAGGATTTTTCTACCAAGCTACTTCAATCATATTTTCCGAAGGTGTTCACCGGGTCTCATCACAACATTTCCGGGAGTGTTCACCGGGTCTCTTCACAACATTTCCGGGAGTGTTCACCGGGTCTCATCACAACATTTCACCATACATCCGAAGGGACATAGTCAAAACGGGAGCCTCCAAAATACACATTTTCCTCACATCAAAAGATAGTAGTAGTATAGCATTTTAAAAACTTCCCCTTCTCTATAGTGGGAATCATAATGCCATGCATGCTTTTCAAAAAGAGTACAAGTATGTGTGTATATATATATATATATATATATATATATATATATATATATATATATATATATATATAGGTTTGAAAATAGTTTAAGGCAATAATATAGGGCTTTCGTATAAATATCGCTCTTAATGCCAAAATCATAAGTTTAAATATTAGCAGTGGTGTGTAATGATTTATGCACAAATAGCCATATAATCCTGTTAACTTGATTTTCAATGCAATTATTTAACACATATGTTAAGTACCTAAACAAATCCACCATCAATCCATGATTCAATGCTCGGTTCAAATCATATATAACTCCAATATACTAAATAGCACATAGAAAAATCATTTTTAAAAGCTTGAGTTGAAAATTGATTTTGTTCCCATACCAAATAGTCACATTTCATGAAAACAAGTACGCTAAACGCTCGAACCTCACGAGCCACACGTGCCCACGAGTCACGGACCGAATCGGCCTCGACACTAAGCCACAAGGGCCCTACATCTTGGCCTTGCGGGTCTCAGTGGCGGGTTTGGAAAGTCCTGCCACCTTATCCCGCAAAGCTACAGTACAGAGTGGCAGGACTCGAGAGAGTCCGCCACTTTGAACTAAAGCCCTAGCGGGGCTGACCGGCGGGACTCG